GGTCTCGACTTCATGGGCCACAATTCAAAAAAATTGGCTCAGTTTTCCGGCAACAGCCGAAAGGAAGTCAAAAATTCCAGTTTACGTGAATTTTCAAGTGAAAATGACTATTCAGTAATTTTCCCGGAATAATAAAACTGAAATTTCAATTCCCACGAATTCTTCCATGAAATTATGAATTTTCAATGACAAAATTCCTTGAAATTTCAGTGGAAATGTCACTTGTTGGAAATTTCCAAGACTCTTGCCGGAAATTTCAGTGGAAAATTTTTAATAGTGTATGATGAATGAACTCGTGTCATTATGAATTTTTCGAAAGTTTCGAAAATGACGAATTTTGTTTTCGTTCTGAACCCCCGACAATGGCGCCATGACATAAGAACCTAAAAGACAGATTGAATAAAAAATCCATTGAGTTTATTATGGCAGCGTTCGATAATAAACGAAATGGTGCCCAAGGGAAAAAAAATTACAATAAAAAATCTTCCTTTTGCCTTCAAAGAAGAATGATTGAATAGAATCTTTCTTCCGTGTGCAATTGAATGTTGGTATTTTTCTCCATAACAAGAAATTGTACGAGTTTCGCCATTTCCCCTCTCAGTTATTCTCCATCTATATTTAATTTTAAAAAAAGTTGAATTCTGCACTGAGAAGAGCTTGATATTTTCTTTTTATGACCTCACCCACACCGTTGAATCAGGGGTGAAAGCCCAAAGAAATGGAAGAAAGCGGCAAAAGGCGGGCGAGGGGAGGATAAGCTGCTTACCTGCCGCAATTAAAATGTTTCTTTAAATACCCGATTAGAATTGTTCCATTGTCCCATCGAATTCATTCAGTGAACGTTTTTCCACCTCCGTTTGACAATGCAAATTGTTTTTTTCTGAAACTCATGTATTCAATCACCTAAAATAAAAAAGCTTTGTTTTGAGACTTATGATGTTAGATTGAAAATTTCAAAAGTTTCTACTCAAAAGAATTCCACTTAAGGGTATCCAAATACTTTGGCTATTTTTTTTTCAGTGAACTGCTTTTCTACTTTTGTAGTCGAACATCAGAGCTTTCATTTAAGCCCCATTTTAACCTCAAGTTTCCGGACATTTTACAATGATTTTGTTCTTTAAACTTTGCAGCTCTAAATTTAAATCTCGATACTGAACCGTTAGAAAACATTTTAAAAAGCGGAAAAAATTTGAACGTTTACTTTTGAAGGAAGATTACTTAAATAATTTAAAAATTGCAATTTTTGAAAATTAGGAGCATTTTTATAAATCATTTATATGTATAATTTATATAATTTATAAACAATCAATTTTCAAATTTATTCATATTCAGAATTTTACCAGAAATCGATTTTATGCCGAAAAAAATTGTTTCCGAAACTTTAAACAATTTCAATTATTTACTTATAAACAACGAATCTTAAAAAAAATAATAGTTCCGTGCAAAATGTAATGCATGAAATGAAGTAATGAAATGTCCCCACCTGAGAATTTAAGTGTTAAATTAAGACCTTCCAAAGTTTGAACTTGAGATTTTTGCAACTCTCAACTGATCGCTTTCAGACCTCAAATTAAGATTTTTGAAAATTCAGTACCGAAACGGTAAAACGGTTCAAATCGATTCACCCCGTATCTTAGTTTTCGAGGCATATCTCCGAATCTAAGAGAGATAACGAAATTTCTATAATGATCTTTTTTGCATGGCGAATTAAGGGCTACAAAAAAGGTTATGATAAAAAATTTGCTATCTCCCTCAGATTTTGGGATATTCATTGAAATCTGGCCAATAGTTAAAATCGACTTAAACCGTTTTACCGTTCTGCCACTGAATTCTATTTCAAGTCCTTTGAAATCATGAAATAAGGCATTATTTTTTCGGGTGTTGAATACAAATTACAAAATCATTTATTACATTTTTTATGATCATTTCTTTTCATTACACAGTAAAAAAAAATCGGTGTTACTGTCTCTAGTGTGAGGAGTTAAATATTCCGGTGTTAAAATTAACTCCTTCGCCTGGAATCAAATTTTAGTACGGAGTCAGTTTTATTTTTCACACCGAAAAACGGTGTGGACTCATTTTCACTCCGTTTCTTGTGGCCTCAGAGTAAAAATTGTCTCTGGATTTTTTACTGTATATGGCGTTTTCAAAAAAATTAATTCCCTCAGTTTAATTGACTATTCGATCATATATCATATTGTAAATAGGCAATGATTTATCCCCAGAGTTTTGAACTTCTACATTTGCAAAAACCAATTTGCCGCAGCATTAGCCTTACGTTTCGTTGTCTCCTTTCTGTTCCAGTTGAACTAGTGGTTCACGAGAATGTAAAATACACGTTGTGGAGTTTGGTATGATGTTAAAGTAAGTCGTACCTTTTTCTTTCCCTCCTTTTTTTCATTGTGAAGAGGGCATATGTGGTTAGTATCCGAAATTCTGCTGACGATCACCGAGGGAATGGTATTGCCGTGTATGGGACGTTTGTATCCCCCCTCTAAGGGCCATTGAAAAGCTCCCTGAGGAGATTTCTTCGCTTCTTAAACTCCTCGAGAGTCTGAGATTACCGTCGGGTTTTGTGCACGTACAACAGATTTTTTCCGATGAGTAATTGAAACTGATTTTTTTTTTGTCTGTCGGACGAAGAAAAAATGTCTGATCATTTTTTTAAAGAACAACACAGGAAAAAAAGAAAATAAACTCTAAACGCATAAAACAAAACTTGAGAATTGCGTAAATAATCAGGGCGACTAAAGTTACTGTATTGAACTATATCATCAGATTTTTCCGTGAAGCACTTAATTTAATAGCGAAATGATGAAAAATAATCATTTCATCACGTCATAACTTATGAATTGAGGGCATTCAAATATTCACGCATGACAAATTTAATAGAAAAACCTAGCAAATTCGCTAGACAATTCCATTTGATTTTTTACGGACAAAAATAATTGTAATTGAAATAAACAAAAAGTAATTTGGAAAAAATGTTTTCGCTATGAGGGAGAACCGAGAACTCCAATCAGTTCACGGAATTGATTTGTGACGACACGGGTGGTCAACCAGCAATTTATTTTTTGTTTGTAAAATTTGTTTATTTTCATTTTTAAATGAAAATCAAGACCTTCTTCAAAGGCAAAATTGTTAAAAATTAGCTTCTCGGAGACTTCTCTCATTCATGAGAATCGGTAAAGAAAATACTCCAAACCTTTTCCAATTCTAATACCATTTGTCATCTCCGACGGTCATAACTCCACGACAACGGGTTGAGTCGAGAAGAGGAGATCTTGAGAAAAATCTCTTGGGACCAAACAACATCCAGACCATCCCGTTCAAGCCATCGGAAAGGAGGATTGGACGATGGCGTCCCTCTACGAAGCCCGTGCTTTTCAAATGGGAGCAGAAGATGTCGTCAACCGAGGATCCATTGCCATCAATCAGCGAACAACTATGGTCCAGGGTACCCTGACGCGAGGAACGACCGGAGGGGGAAGCTCCCCCTCGTCTGACGAGCAAAACCTACAGGAAGTCAGCGAGGAATACTCGAATGTGAATAATATTCTAACGTTGGGGATAATTCACGACATTTAATCTAAAATAATTTTAAAATATCGAGAATATTGATTTATATCCATTTAGAAGTTTTTGAGAAATAATTTTCATGTAAATTAGTTACGTGGAATATTCTAGCGTTTAATACTTCTGTTAGAACTTCGATATCCAATCAAATTCAGTGTCATGAATTTGGGGGGAGGTTCCTCCCCCAAAACAAGATCAAGCAGGCATATCTGTTGAACCGGCCCAAGCTTGAGTAGAGACGTCTCCTAGCCAGCGCGAGATGTAGTCGCAAAATAGTACTATCCGCCAGATTGGCATTTATTTTGTTTATTTTGAGTTAAATTTATTATTTTTTATTGTGGAGGTTGCTGTCTATCCTGGAGCAGGTGGTTTCTCACAAATCGATAGGTGGCCAGAGCCGAATAGTTATTAAATTTGAGTAAAATTGTAAAATTGTAGCCTTTGTCTTGGCTATTCTTGAGAAAGCGTCCAAGATGGCATTTTTTCTAATTTTTCATTATATTTTCTTGAGTTGAGGCAGTTGTGATCAACTCCTCTTATATTTTTTCGATTTTTGATGATTCGATATTTTATTGATATTTTATTATAATTTTGAGAATAATGAGGAATTATAACCCTTATTCAACTTTCCTGTAAATTTCATAATTTTTCTTTGTGTGAAATTATATTTGATTATTCTTGTTAAATTGTGTGTTCTCATTGTGTGAGTGTGGAAGGTAAAATTGCAGGCTGGGAGTATCGTCCTCCTTCCCCCTTGCAACAAGTAGGGTCTACTCTGATACCTGAGCTACCAGCCCTTGTAATTCTGTTAAAATTGTTGAAAATTCTAAATCGAGAGGAGTCGATGCACTCTCAAAAACTAATCCATCGACTGGCGTCCAACATATTTAAAATTTCAATTAAAAATAATTCTATTCTTTATCCTAAATTTTTCCCCGAACGTCACGGATTAAATTCCTCAGTTATTTTTGATAAGAAACAAAGATTTTCAATTAATATGCGATAACGATTTTATTATAATTTGTGTTACATAAGATACTGGTAACATTGATTATCCTTAATAAATACACCATAATTATCACTTTACACAATGCGCAAAAAACCGCATTAATTGAATATCAATTAACGACTAGAATCGAATCTCCAGACTCAGAATTTATTTTTAATGATTTAATTCAACGTTTTAAGTCAATACTCATGAAGCAGTGCGAAAGACTTGAGATCGTAACTTGCGTTTTTCTTGATTATCATAATTATTTACAATGGAGTAATTAATATCTACAGAATATTTTAATGGCGATTACGAGTAATTCGAGAAGACTAGAAGAGAACTAGAGATTTAATCGAGAAATCTCATAGAAAAATTTCTTTTTCATTCCGGAATTTTATTAATGAGTTGCGGAATCAAGTTCTGGGGTTTTTCATTAATTAGTAGACGCGGGGGGACTGTGAACTTGTCCGTAAAACATTCCCCTGGGTCTACATGCTGAACAGTCTGGCGTTGCTCGATCTGTTGGCTCTCCACCTGTCGAGAACAATGAAAAAAAATATTACAAACGAAATTTGTGTGGGTTTATATTATTCAGATTCTTAAAGTTTCTGTTATGGAGGAGGAATGGGGTCTATAAGGTTTAAGGTGTTTCGTGGAAAAAGTAAAAATAATGAAAAAACAATTGAAAAATTCATGGGAGAAATGTCTGAGTTGGCTGCGACATTGAAAATTTTTGCACATTTTTTCCAGATCTCAGTCTCAAAAAAAAATAATGAAATTTGGATGTTTTTGTAATTTCTCCAGCTATAACCTCCGAGGTTACCTCACTCTCAATTAGGAAAATTTCCATAGCACCCAAAAAAATAATGAACTATTGTGGGAAAACTAGTGGGAGATGAGTTAAATTTTTCTTGAGAATACGAATAAGTTTCAGAATTTTTCCAGATTTCATAAGAAAGTTATTTGAACAAGTGATTCGGAAAATTCTGAGTTTCGGGGTAATTACGCCTTCACGCGCAGGTGTGTGTTCGAATATCAGTGAGCATAATGGGAAAGGCATGGGTTGGACCACGGAACTGAGAGAGAGAAAACACTCGACAGGTTTACCAACTCGAGACGCATTTTAATATTATTTCAATAATTAGAAAAACATCTAATAAAAATTGGTTGACACCCATAGGTGACGAGAAAAATATCAATCAATCTAATAAATAAAATGAATATTTAAAAAATGTTCAAATGCACACTTAAATAGTTACTTGAAAATTGGAAAATTTCGTGCTCATCGATTGAATTAAGGCTCCAGAACGAAACACCTTAAGGATATCCAAGTACTTTGGCTATTTTTTCTCCAGTGAAATGCTTTTTCACTTTTGCACTCGAACAACAGAGCTTATATCGAACATTTGAGCCTCATTTTACCCTAAGTTTCTGGACATTTTGCAATGATTTTATTATTTGAACTTTAATTTTTTTTCCGTTTCACTTAACTGAAGTAAGTTCACACTACTTTAAATGCACTTTAGATTTAAAGTTTTTCAAGCATCAAATTTTAAGATCAGGTTGTGAGAGAAAAATTTGTTCTTCTTTTCATCTAAATTACGTTTTGCAATTCATTGTTTTTTCCCAAACATTGCGTTTCTCTCTATATAATAAAAAAATAAGAGGGAAAATTCAGGGGAGCCAAAAATTCAGGCGACGCTCAATATAAGGGGCAGGAATGAGGGTCAGGGACAAGGGTCAGGTATAAGGGTCAGACATAAGGGTCAAGAACAAGGGTCAGAGACACGGGTCAGATATAAGGGCCAGGGTCAAGGGTTATTGGGATATAAGGGTCATAAATGTCATGTGAGGTTCATAAGCGTTATGGGGATAGTAAGGGTCTCTTGGGACCCTTACTATCAAAGGGTCAAAACAAGGTTCACGCTAAGGGTCAAAAGGGTTATAAGGGTCAAAATAATGGTCACAATAAAAAAAGTAGTGTTGCCTAACGCTAAAAAATTTTCAGTGTTCATGAGGGTCACGAGGGTCACAAGGGTCATGGGGTTGCTAAGGGTCATAAGGGTCATAGGGTTGCTAAGGGTCATAATGGGTATGGGGATATAAGGGTCATAAATGTCATGGGGATGTAAGGTTCATGAGTTATGGGGATAACAAGGGTCACGCTAAGGGTCATAAGGGTTATAAGGGTCAAAATAATGGTCACAAATAGTAACCCTTAGGGTCATAGGGTTCAAAATAAAAAAGTAGTGTTGCCTAATGCAAAAAAAATTTCAGGGTTCATAAGGGTCACGAGGTTCACAAGGGTCATGGGGTTGCTAAGGGTAGTAAGAGTCATGGGGTTGCTAAGGGCTATAAGGGTCACAAGGGTCATGGGATTGCTAAGGGTCATAAGGGTTATAGGGTTGCTAAGGGTCATAAGGGTTATATCTAATATAAATGGAGTTTTAGAATATATATGAATGGATGGAAAATATTGAGTGATTGTGCCTCACTGGACAGGCGTTGGGTGGAGCCTGATCCCCTTCCCTTTAGGGGGGGAAAAATACATGCAGAAACAGAAATTTTGAGTGGTTTGAGCGGATTATTCTATTTGATGGCCAATGAATATATTTCACAACAGAATTTTAACAATGAAAGTATTGAACAAATCCCCATGGTCATACCCGCATAGCCAAACAGGAGGGGGGGGGGGGGGCGAGCGAAGCGAGCGGGGGGGGGGGCGAAGCCCCCCCGGGGTTGATGAGCGAAGCGAGCAGGGGGCGTAGCCCCCTAGTCTCGAAATAAAAAACTAAAATTGTTTAAACTTGCGAAAATTGTTCTTCTCATCATGGAGTTAATTTCTGGGATTATTCTGAAGATAAATTTATTTAATACGAACTTGAAAAATTGTTTCTATGGGATGAAATATTGCAATCGATTATTCGTCCACGGTTATTTAGAGAATATTTATTTTTGAAATGTAGAGGAACGAATAATTGTTGAAAAGGAAAACTGTAATTTTTAATCTGTTTAATTAATAATTGAGCATTTTGTAACTACAGAACAAAACTCTTTTTCATTGAATGTATTCATACCCATTGATTCAATACTCTATTCGCAATCCGGAAATTCTATTCACCGCAAAGACGACTCGTTATTTTCGGCTTAGGTATCGAAGGTGAATGCGAGTGTTGTTGCGGATTTGTGGAAATACATCAGTGGGAAAATATTGAAAACAAACTGATTACATTTTCTTTTTGCAAACAAAATAAACAAGTCGATAACAATTAACAATTCATTTCCGCTCCATTCACGAATTAATTTTAATTTTCCCTGTCTACATAATAATTCTTTTTTTCTATAATAATGAAAAATAGTAAATCCTCAATTCAACAAATTGAAATCATAATTAACAATGAATACTCTTGAAATAATTTTTTTTTGTGAAAGCAACTAATTTAAAAAAGTGAGAAAATCGGTTGATGTTTTTTTATTGAGTGTTGCATTCGAATCTTTCTATTAACCGAACTGAGAAATACAAAAAATCAGCAAATAATTATAGATCGCCATCAATCATTACTTTATTAATATTATGAGAAGTTGCACCTTCAATAATTAAATTTTTTCTTATCATCACTCATTTATTTGAGTTTCTCAATTATTGTTTGATAATATAATTCGGAATTCGAATATTTAAATTGATAGTTAATTTAATAATGAAAAAACGGGTGAGTAATATTAACAATTGACTTACTCAAAATTTAACTGTAATTACAAATTATGATTATGCCAGTGTCTAAAAATAATTCCGAAAATTTTTCATTTCGAAAATTTAAATTAAGAAGTGACAGATTCTCTGAAGTAATGAATAAATTGTTTATTATTTTGTTTTTCAATTTATTTAAAGTCGCATCAACAACGAGGTTCTTCGCGATTTTAGTAAATAATTCGGTACATTTAGTTTGCATTTGGTTTTGGTTACAAATTCATTATATTAGATGGTATATTTTCATTAGCTTGAGTAGCTTCAATATTTTTTCAGCATTTTTTTCCTCATTTAGTATTTCGTCTAGTTCTTTTGTTAGTTTATGCTCCTTCTGATGTTTGGATATTTTGGACAGTTCGTTAGAATGTGTTCCACTGTCATGATTTCTCTGCAGGTTTGGCATGTTGAAGGTTCTTCCTTCGTTAGTAGGAAATTATGTGTTAATTTTGAGTGTTCGATTCTCTGAGTGTCCCGATTTGTTTATTATTTATCGAAGTAAAAAATATCTAATCATTTTCACTGAATTTTCACATTTAGTCAGTAGCAAAAACATCTCATCCAAAACTGTTAAAATCTGTTTTCATTTTCAAATTTACTCGGCAAATGAAACCGCAAATGAAACGCCAAATCCCACCGTATAAGCCTCAGGTATACATCTATGATAGCGTCAAAGAGCTTTAGAGAGACGCGTGCGCTCTACAATGATGTTTAAATCCCGCCCCATTCCTGAGAGCACACGAGTAGACGATCCAGAGGCTTTCCAGTATCTCCCCCTTTCTCGATGGTTACCTCGTTACCACTTTGCTATCAAACACGTGCTGAGCCACACGTCTCCTACCAAGCCAGTAAACACTTTAGTAGCGACTAATTACAAACGATTAGCCTCAATATATTTTAGGGTTGTATCGTTTCACGGAATATTGGGATTATTATTGGGGGTGAAAGCCCAATTAATTTATCAGGGGTGTTCAATCGGAGTATCAATGGGATAATTTCAACGTCACAAATTATTAAAGTCATCCTTCGACATAAATTGTAAATGTACGGTAGCGAATTTTTACATAATTTCTTGCTTTTGATTTCTGAAATTATTTTCAAATTTTTTCATGCCATCTCGTGCGTTACCTTTGAGAATATTTAGATGTCGATAAAATGCGCTTCCGTGCCATGTTTCTGGTGTCTTTGTGCGATGAATCTCAGGTTTTACATCGCGAATATGTGATGATTCCTCTGCCAATTTTTCCGCTTCTCTTTCCTGGAAAAAAACAAGGAAAATAATTTTCCATTTTTGGCGTAATTACACTGTTAGCAATGAATGAAAATTTCATAGACCATTTCGTAGTCCTTTTGAGGAGACTATTGAATTGGATTTAAGATGGAAACAAGTGGGAAGTTGCTTCCATCACAACATAGTCGATATATTTCAGTAGCGAAGCGGTCAAATGGTTTAAGTTGATTTTGGGTATTGGCCAGTTTTCAATGAATATCTGGAAATCTAAGGGAGATAGCAAAATTTTTCTCATAATCTTTTTAATAGCACTCAATTCGCTCTATAAAAAAGGTTATTATGAAAATTTCGCTATCTCCCTTAAATTCGGAAATATTTCTGGAATAGTCAACTGAAGGCTAAATTGACTTAAAGAGTTTGACCACTTCGCTCCTGATTTTTGCTAATAAATTGGCAGTTTACGTTCGAGTGGAATTTCTAGGACGGTTTATTTTAAATTAAATTCAATGATTCATTAATTGAATTGAATTAAAAATTGAATTATTTAACACATTATTCAGTCCATTTAAAAAGCGGATGCATAATGTCAAGAACACTATGTATACAATAACAATGGAAAAATTTTCAAAATGATGTCCATGATTTCCATGATTACTGATTTCATTGATTTCCATTGATTTTCATTGATTTCATTCGTGATTTTCAATGATTTCATGGAATAAAAATAAATGATTTCTATAACTTTGTTCCTCAAAAGAACACGCATTGAATGATGTGCCACATTTTTCAAAAATCAATTTTTTTTCTTTTTTTTTCAAAAAACTTCAACGCAACTATTAATTCATCAAAACTTATTGGTTTATTAAATTCAATACAAATTAACTCAAAACACCTTCTACTAACAAATGAATTGTATATCAACTTTTCAATGAGAACTATTTTAAAAGTTTTTAAAAATTAATTATCACTTTAGAAATATTTTTTGACTTTTTAATAAATGCCTTCGGGGACTTCTCATTCACCCCTGCAATTAAAATACGGAGGCAAAATTGTTTTTCGATATTGTTTTATATCGACATAACTATGAGAAATCATTGGTTGCGGGAATAAAACCTTCAAGTTGTTTGGTAAAACATACCAAGTACACAGAATACTGACCTCTTTGTTGTTTTCTATGTAGGCATATGAATTAGAATATTCTCTGGCTTTCAATGTCTTCCCGACAGAATATGCAAAATTGAGAACTAATGCTAATAAACATGTTGAGTTGGAAAAAGACGTTAATCCACAGTCCACGGGGTAGAATTTATCTTTAGTTTTCATTAATTGCCAATGATTGCCAAATGTTGGAAATCGCGTAATTTTTCATGATTTCCACGTGATTTCGAAACGATTACACTAGCCAGTGGCACCGTGATTTCCAAAGTTACTACACTGTTTGAAAAAAAAATAAAATTTCATGGACAGTTGACTACGAATTTTCAGGACAGTGACACTGAATGCGATTTAGGGGAAAAAATCATGAAATTTCGGGTTTCACTGAAAATTCAGTGAAATTACAGAATTTTAAACCGTATAAAGACGAGAAATCCTTAATTTATTTGAATTTTCAATCTAATATGAATATTCAGTGCCAAATTACAGTGAATTTTCAGTGAAATCTGAAAATTCATGATTTTTTCCCCCTAAATCCCATTTCGTGTCACTGTCCTGAAAATTCAAGAATATATTAACCGGAATTTTTTGGTTTTCTATTCATTTTCAGGGAAAAATGAAACTGAAATTTACAGTTCTCTTTGATTTTTGAAAGAAATTCTGAATTTTCAATGACGAAATTGCTTGGAAGTTCAGTGGTAATTAAACTCGAAAATTTCACAAAAAGTGTACTGGAAATTTCAGACAAAAATTTTTACCAGTGTAGCCGCGTGAGTTTTCCCTCATTTTGACACACTAGAGGCATTCCATGCTATTTCAATAGACCAAACAAAAATCGGACCAAATTTACGCGGTTATATGGAACACGTGCAGTATCGCTGGATGATCATTAGGGGTTAGACCAACGAGAGTCAACTGTGAAATTGAATAAAATATTGTTCACAATATTCATTGAAGAAATTCCCGAAAAAATGTATTCAACAATGAAAAATCCGAAAAAGTATGGGAATGTCAAGATTTTCGGCAAAACTGAAATCTTGCTTTAAAAAAAGTTGCTAACTTGAGCGAAGTACTTGGACATCCTTAAGGGAAATATGACTCGATTACACCCCATCCATTCCGTGGCGATCAATCTACTCAAGTATGCAACAATAGCTTCGGCTTTCATTTCGTAATCCACGCGTTCATTCATTGTGGAAAGTTGAGGAACCCCGCGGGACTCAGGTGACAGTTTATTTAATATCTCCTTTCGATAACAATCGAGTGACGTTAATGACTCAGTAGCCATCGAACTCAGTTGATTATTTAATCCCCATTTTCCATTTCCAGTTCTTTCATTACTCGTATCTAGCAGTTTTTAATTATTTTTTTCACATGCGAAATCCGCAATTTAATTCATTCTCTTCCATTTCAATTCGTCGGATGAGGTCATGCACTCAACTATAATTGAATATCCCACGATTTATACTCATGGCATGGGAGAGAAAAAAATTAATGACAAAAAATAAAGTCACGTGACTGTACATTTTAAAGAATACGGATCAGGAATAAGGATTTTTTTCATGAGAAGTTTTGATTTGATATTGCTTTCATGGAGATGAATTAATGTTTTAGGAATTAATGTTCATTATAAGAATAATGAGAGAATGTGTAAATGAGAATGATGAAAATAAGGAAATGAAAAAATTCAAATTAATGTTTTTTCTGGAACTCGTTAACTCCTGGGATAGTACTTTTTCCACCTGAAAACTGGGTTGCGCGTAAAACTGATGTACGTCGAGAGATACCAATTCGCGATGGTAGTGGCAGTTAAAGCCGATTGTCGTAATTTTCATTCTCGGTGGAAATGAAATATTCATACCTCACGTGTTATAACAGTCACGGCAGTAAAAATAAAATAAAAAACTTCCTATCTAGTTATGATCAAATTCGTGTGTCTTTATGTTAAACAACATTATTTCATCCCGAAAAATAATTTCATGAAAATAAAATCAATTATCTAAAAATATTTTTCATGATTTTACAATTCTAAAACCGTAAAGAAATTCTGCAATAAATTTTGGGGTTATGGAGTGGGGGAAAATATCAAAGATTCCGACACTCCCCTGCATCCTTTGAAAAAAAAATAATGAAATGACAAAAAATTCACGGGTGTCTTGAAATTTCGTCGTTTGGATTTCTTTGCACTTATTATTCATGATTAATCAATTCCAAATAATTTTTATTCCGAAATATTATTTATCCGAATTTTTTAACAAATAAAAATTTTCAAGAGAGATTTGACAACCTCGCATTTTTGTTCGACGCAGTTGGTAGTCATGTGTCCCGATAAAATCCTATACGGTGCTATAGAATCTATAGTATATGCCTTGGCGGAGTTCACACGATGGCCTCCGCCCCACGCACTCTAACCTCTCTCAACGTTGCCACGTTCAGCCATCAGTTTCCTCTGACATAACTAAAATCACGAACTATGCCACACATTTTCAATAATTACAAATAATCCCTGTGGCGACGGCTAATGAAATTGTGGGGATATGTTCCTGAAATATATACGGTTCTATTCGTGAAGCGTTTGGATTTTGATTCCATTGTCGACTATTTTTTTGTGATTTTTGAAAAAGTGTTGCCATAAGACTCTGTGTTGATGATACATTTTTCATATTTTCTCCTCAACAATCTACGTGGCTCAGCGTTTCGGGACTCCGGGAGGATATTTGTAATCACTCAAAGAATATACTCTGAAAATTTCAGCTCTGCAGTCCATTTCCTCCTACTCCCATATACTTACTGCGGACGTTTCTTAAAAAATAGACCAATGAGCAAAAGTAGAAAATCATTTCACTGCAGAAAAAATAGCCAAATTACTAGCATATCCTTAATAAACAAAAATTCCCATTTTTTAATGAAAAAATATTTGTTTATGTCTTCATTCATCTATCTATATATATTCATCCATTTATTTTGAAAAGACGGTGTTATTCATTCATCATTATAATTTCCCAATGAATGAAAAATAAAACATCAATCAATGCATACTAAATGAAATTACAATCCCACCATCATGACTTTTCAATTTAATAATAGTGACACAGTGACATCCGTCCAAATGTAATAAGACCGTTCCGTCTATTTACCCGGGCAAACATTAATTATCCTTCCTAGTCTAATGGCCCAAGTCCGAGGGCCATCACAAAGTACTTGATGATAAAACTTTCATAAAATGGGATTTGAAGTAATTACGTTTTTGTGTGCCGGAAATAGTAGAAGGTCGTGCAAACACCCCCTGTTTCACCCCTTTGTTCAGTGTCTACATTGAATCTACAAGGCCATTGTGATGTAATTCGACACGGTATGAAAAATGTTTTGGACACTGTGTGTAATGCGTTCCAGTCAAAACATGTATCGATTTTTCTTTTGGATGACTCGAGCAGGTGGCGCAGGATGGGGGATACCATATGTCGAGGATGATAATAACATCGCGAAAAATCTCGATTTAAACGCACACTCGAGGGGGACATTTGATTTTACACGCTCGTCATGAGGATAATTAAAGTAGTATAAAGTAGTATAACTTGTGAAGATTAAAATCCGAAATAAATTTTACAAGTTAGTCAATATAAACAGAAACATTCTAATTTAGTTTGTGCTCAATCGGCAGTCTATATAGTATTATTCTACAATTAGCGAATTCTATCTAAATTAATTTATACCATTTTATTTTCTTTCCATTTCCGTCTTCACAATTAGATTAATGTAATTTTATTCATTCTTATTGTTATGATATCGTCGCATTAAAATCAAAGGGGCGTAAGTGCCATTTCTCTGAGATTTTTTTTTTCTTAATACCAAAGGGGCGTATGTTTTTTTTT